GGCTATTATGTTTTTATCAATTTCAATCAATTCATTCCAAATGGAATGGCTCTGATAAATAAGTTTGATAGAATTAATATATGTTGTATATATTAATATGATTGGCTAAAATACAGTAAGCCAGTATACATAAATCTATTGCTTATGTAAACATTTTTGTGAGTATTCTAAAGTGACATAATTCAGTAAGTTATACTGTGCATAATATAAATGGGAAGATACCTTCCCAACAAAAAATTGACTACCGCGGTATATATATTTAAAATTGATATTTTTATTCATGCATAGTGCAGATGTCAATATTGTCAGTTTAAGAGCGTTAAATATTTCAAATGGTGTGTTTAAAATCTTTGGCATGATGAATTCAATTGTATGTTGTGTGTTGTGGGGTAGTAGACTATGTAACTACATGTATGCCTAAGGCCACACCAATTTAATTTGTTGCTTCTCGGATTTTTTCAGAAAAAATATGAAGCGACAGGGCGAAATAGAAAAAAAAGACCAAGGCACCCCATGGTAGCCGGAAATGTTACGATATGAGCTATGAAGTCAACATACCAGGCTGGTTAATAATCAAAACAATATATTTTGAACTTTAAATGAAACAAAGTTGCATTGTTACATTGAAAAACTAGGAAGAAGAGGACTTTCTTCAACTGTTTGAGCAAAAATATGCCTTTTATTGTCGATTGTGCAGTTGATTTAGAACCTAATTTTTTTTTTTTGCAAATCAGAAAAAAAATGGACAGGGCGAACCGAGAAACAACTACATGTAATTAAATTGGTGTGGCCTAAAGTACAAAGGACTAGTAACTAACCAAAGCAGCAGTTAGGTATACACCAAAAGAAAGAAAATGAACATTTTATTAACATATCAGGAATACGGAATAGTACCGATATTAACTGAGAGTTTCCGTTACATTGGTAAACCGTGGAGCAGGAAGAAATTTACATGTAAGTACAGAATGGGTTCTGTCCTTGGTGCTGATCGGGACATCCGCGATTGTCAGCTGCAGTTTACAGCCAACTTGACAGGTGGCGCTGCAGCACGGGTCATACATGTAAGCAAAACATAGTGTATGATAGTGTATGTCACCAGTAGCACGATCGCTGCTTGTATTGGTAAACTGCTGTTATGTCCTTGCTTGAAGTCTTATTATTTCACTACAGTAGTGGTCCGGGCAAATTTATTGAATCGAATCAAACCGAATCACATTTTGAATCATGAACGGGACTATAGTCCGTTAGGTTATCCTAGTGTCTATCGAGGTTGGGGCGGGTTCTCTTCGGGGCTACATGAGCTCTTCCCCGCCCGACTCTGCTGCTGGGTTCCCCGGTAGCTTTTGCAGTGTTAGCGAGTACAAGGAACCCCGTTACAAAACGGATAACACCCAGGTTAGGCTACCAGTTTTCCAATATGTGTGATTTGGGAGAAAACGGCGATTTTCAAAACAATCCGTAGTGTATACTAGTATATGAGCTGATACTATAGTATGACATACTATGAACATGTAGTTGAGGAAAATTAAATTACCAAAAAAACACAAGGAGCACAGAAACAACATTGTCACTGCAGAATGTACTGTTATAAAGTGGAACAGGCAGAATTTCATATATAGCCTGGTATCCAGTCTTACGTGGTAGGGACGGGCGCTCCTCGGGGCTGCAGGAGCTCTTCCCCGCCCGCCTGAGCTAGGTTTCCCGGTGGGTATTTCACGAGAGATTGGTTAGCCCTGTTCGTGTTAAGGCAAATCAAATCCCCAAGCATGCCATCTCTTTTAGCGTAACGGGTCGGCCTGTTGTACTGGGCGGGGGAAGCTAGTTGGGCCCCCGAAGACACAGCCTGCCTGAACACCCCCAACATCACGTAAGACTGGATACCAGGCTAAATTCTATATGGCCTGTACTTTGGAATTAGGGCATGGCGAGACTATAGCTGTAAGCTTGTGGCCTGAACATCTGTTCTGTCTCATCACAAAACGTCACTTTGTGATAAATTCGGCGTCATTCTTGCACCGGATCGTGCCTTGTGAACACACGGGGCTGAGACCGGCCGGGCCCGGGACAACTTCAACCCACACCTCCTCGGTAAGGTTACCAAAATATCCTTAAAGAACATACAGTCAAATTGAAGTATGCTTATATTGTTTAACTCTTTTTGAAGTGTGTGGTATACGTTTGCATGCGGTGTGACCGCAAGGACACTCACCTATAAATGAAGCGTGCCAGATTTTTCTTGGCACAAAAATCGCTTAGTTTTAAAAGCAGGCTTGGGCTTGCATGTGGTCATGAAAAGGATATACAACGATATTTTCTTTATTATCAAAAGTTTGACAGATTCACATGAAAGAAATGCTGCTTAAAGGGGTTATCAAATGGTGGAATTGTTCTAAAAAGAACTGTATTTTCTTCCTTCGCCATGTTTTGAGCAAGGAAAGAGACGTACAGTGTATGTAACATGACAGGTTGGCTTAGCCCTTTTAGTAGACCGTCTTTCAAGATCCATCCGCGGACTACAACTGTCAAACTAAAGCAACTAGCAAAACAATTTCTCCAACTTTATTAACGCACTCATCATTGCTGACTACCATGTATACCGCAGTCTCTTTCGTACGAAATTTGGAGGAAATCAAAACAAGGAAGTTGCAGTGAAACTACGTACACGTTTTATCACAGCGTCCAAGAAGTGGGAATTCGAATGGGGGTTTCGCGGGAGGGTGGATGGTGCGTGATACAACACAGATGGCATGGTCTGTCTCACATGCCGGACTTATCAGATAAAACAGCGTTCCAAAAACTTCAGCATCGGTTCACAGATATCGATTTTGTTACTCTCCAAGCAGAGGTTTGGGTTTTGGGCATCATTTTGGCGTGTTTTTAGCCTTTTTTTTTATCGGGGCTTCTTTTTTGCACTGGAATTTTTGTCATCGTTGAGTTGGGATGGAAAAAAACCCTGTGCAAAACCGCACAGACATCTTTGGAGCCTAAAGTCAAGTCGTAGTGAAACCCCGATAAAAAAGCCTAAAAACACACCAAAAATGCCCCAAAACCCAAACCTCTGCTTGGAGAGTAAGATTTTGTAGCCTTAATGCCAGACTGTTTCCATCCTCGGCTATAGTAGCCTGGGTGCCAGACTTGTGTGCAGGACAACTGTAAGCCTAGTGTGCTGTGGGTCTGACACCCAGGCTACGGCTCTAGCCCGTGTACATGATAAAATGTTTTCGAGGGCATGTTTGCCCTAGACTAGAGCCGAGGAGCTAGCTGTTTGGCATCCAGGCTACTGTTTTCTTTCCGAACGGAATTAGATCTTTTGAGCTAGAAACGGAGTGTGAAAAATCTTTGAATGTCTTTTTAGTTTAGATTGGAAAAGAAAGTCACACAATAAAAATGCAAACGAACATTTATGCATGAAAAGACTCCAATAGCAAATTCTAAAGCAAAGTCCATTCGTATAGAACCACACACGTTGAAAGCCTTGAAAGAGGATGTACTTTCTTGTTATCCTAGAAATACAATTATATAAACCCCAGATAAGCTTATATTACATTAAACATTCATTCATATCAGAATAGGTTTCGCTACCGCAAACCTGACACCCAAAAATGACACAAAATACTTCGTATAGACAAGGAGATTTAACCTCTTTGGTATAGATTATCCCACATTCTTGAGTGTTTCTCAATTCTATTGTGCCTCCGAGCATTGGTGTATTGTACGTGTATGTCACTCTTGATGTGAAACCTAATATTGTTGTTCTCTAGACAAAGCCTGTATCACAAACATGATCTGTTCCCACATTTTCCATTGTACAAAAAAGCCAGAAGAAGTTGACAACCCCGATTAGCTCAGTAACTAGAACACTTTGTATTAGATCTAGCTTAGCTATACCTTGTATGTTCCTTATGTATGTAAACCAAGTCAAGTAGTGTATCTTTTGTCTTCACTTTTGTATATACGTTTTGTTATGTGTCTGTTAAGTCTTGACCTGTACCTAGTCCGTCGTAGCATGAATGTACAATAAAGGTCTTTCATCATCTTTCTATCCTTCGTTGCATCGAAACTAGAAGTGCCTCCGAAACTCGGGGCCTCCTACGTAAGTTTGAGTCATGTGTGCGGCGGGATGTCTGCGGTTGAGCCCGCGGGGAGACAGCTGACCTTCCGCGTTCTCCGGTCCGTTTAAAAGCCGACAACAGACATGTTAACACGGCACTTCAGGTCAGAGGTACTACCAACAACTACAAGGTTCCCAGTCAAGCACCTACTGTAGCTAGGGCCTCGAATACGCCATTTGGCTTGGCTGAAGGTAAGCCTGTTTTGTGTCGTTTGTTCTGTTCATGGGGTTTTCCTCCAACGTTGTTTTTCTTTCCTTGCCTTTCCTTGAAATGTTGTTGTTCTAATCAGCTTTCGTTTTATGTATCGGCATGATAAGGGCCTGCATGCCCTTTTCGTAAGGCGTAATCAGGCCTTTTTAGTATTCGTAATCCGTAGGAAGCCTCCAATAAATCAACGTAATTCGTAATAGTACATTAAGTCGTAATCAGCTCTGAGACTTTCGTGATCGGCGACGAACATTTTGCGTACTCGTAATCACTACTCTCCCTCATGCAGGCCCTCATGATAGGTACCTCCCACTCAGCCCTCCTATAAAGGCCCCCTCCCTTTCTTTCTCTACTTGCCTTTCTCTCTTCATAGCCTCGAAGAGGATTTGAA